CCAGTCCTTATTCAATCCTGAGTTGATTGTATCTAGTTTGCATATCAATTCCAGCTCAGCAGTCTCTTCTTGCTTCTTCTCATTTACTGGACGTGTTGTATCCTCAATTTTGCCCAGCCAGTTCAAAATTGTACGATCAATATTGGCGGAGTTTAGGATTGCTGGCCATAAAGCAGGATCTGATGTACTGATTTGTGGTGTGCAATTTTTCTCACTACTGTTTCTGTCATCATGCAAGGCTGATTCTTCTTTATCGTTTCTCTCCTTTTCAGGTAAGCCAGATTTTCCTTTGTCATTGCTCTCCTTTCCATGTGAGACACATTCTTCTTTATCATCACTCTCTTTTGTTCTTTCAGGAAAACTGGATGATTCTCCATCACTTTTCTCACATTTCCATTCCTTATCTTCAAGTAAATCTGCTAATGCCTTAGTAACAAGACTTCCATCATTTATGCTTTGCTCCTCAATTTCTTATGCACTGGGACAATCGCTGTGTAAAGCCAAGTCTATGTTGTTCTGTTTCAGATATTTTCCCATCAGATTTGCCCCTTGTTGCAAACTAGATTGCAATTGAGCTTTTCGCTTCCTATATTGAGCTCCTGAAGGCTTTTTCAGTGGCAACTTTTATTTTCTACAGGGGAAAAAAACACAGTATTGGGGAGGGCTAAAGTCTATATTCCGCAGTCTTAGAAAGTCATCAAACATTACATGTTAAGCATGGCATAAGAAGTAATAGTATTTCTTTTATATTGTTGCATAGATAGGGTTTGGTAGATATCTCTGGCATCTTATTAAATATGTCCTTTATTAGTCGCTACATTCTTCAAGTCTTAAAACACAAGTACACTTTCACAATTACACAATAAAACAAGGTTCATAATATTGCAGCATGGCTCTCATTTCACTTCACTTTGTTCCTATATTTCACTGACTGACTATGAGGGCCTGGCTGACAAAATTCTAGGAGCTTCAAGGAAATATAATTCTCAGTAAGCCTGGAAGGTTCTATGAGATTCTACAAAGGTCCAGAACATTCTAGGAGGTTAGTGAAAAATGAATCCACATATGGAATACCTGAAACATTTTATTACAAACATTCTATTTTTCTTTTTGTCGCTAACTACAAAAACAGCCCTCCAAACCGAGTGCCCCCCAAGCCCAGCACCCCAGGTGGTCACCTATGTTGCCTGTCCCTCAATCCAGCTCTGCCACCAACACAAGGAAATGAAGTGTGGATGTTTAAAACCAAGTCAATTATTGTGGTGGCTGTACATCAAAGTAATTTAGCTTGACTTAATTTTGTAGTGTAGACTTGCCCTGAGACTCAGAGTATGTCTACATTGCAATAAAACACTTGTGGGGGCCAGGCCAGCTGACTCAGGCTCGTGGGGTTCAGACTGGGGGGCTATAAAACTGCAGTGTAGATGTTCAGGCTTTGGCTTGAGCCCAGGCTCTGAGAGAGGAGAAGGTCCCCCGAACATCTACACTGCAATTTTATAGCCCTGCAGTGCAAGTCTGCTGACCCGGGCCCGCCATGGATGTTTTGTTGCAGTGAAGACATACCCACAGAGAGATGGAGGGGTTCATTTTCAAAGGTTCAGATGGTACTCATATGCCTAACTCTCATTTGGTTTTCAGTAGGAGTTAGGACCATACACATCATTTGTGCCTTTGAAAATCTTCCCTGAGTGACTTGCCCATGAGTCACACATGAAATCTGTGGCAAACCCAGGAACTGAACCCCTGAAACAAAGTAGAAACAGGAGGATATTGTCTGAAAATAAAATGCCTGAAAATTCCTTCCTATCACACACAATATTTCCTGCCAAGTATGGTGTGAATCAAGTGAAAATGGCCCACATATTTTATTAATCAAAACTTAGAAAAGCCTGTTTACATAACTTCTATTGTACTATAGGCAAGTGCATGATGGAATGATACACCTGCACCTCCCCTACCCCCCTCCAGAAAAGTTCATATTGCTTAATTAAGGATACGGTGAAATTCAACTGAACTCTTCCATAAAAGTATCATAGGTAAAATTACACATAAAAATCTTCAAACAGGATCCTTCCATGATACTTTATTTACAGGGTCTGTGGCTTCCCCTGGGTTTATATACAGCCTAGCACATTTTGGGTGCTACCGCTATACAAATTCCAAGTAACAATATTGGCTTTTCTTATTTCTTTCCCTTACTACGTCTCTTTCTTTTTTTAGCATCAGTCAAACATCAGGCTACAAACAATGGCATTTCAGAGTCATGTACTGTATTACTGACAGTTATCTTTCTGTAATATACACAGGTAAGAAGTATTTTGCTATTATAGTCATTTTGTGATTTTATTTTCCATCTGGACTCTGTACACAATGTGGAAAATTCACCCAGAGGCTTGTCTCCAACTCATGACTTTCTATCAAAGGGCTTGTTCCAAATATAAATATGCCCATACTTGGGTCCTCCAGAATTTTGTAATAGAAATATCTGATTCAGGGTGTAGCTGGTTCCCAATAAATCACTTATCTCAAGCACTAATAAATAGTGAGAGATGAGTGTCCAATGGAGAAACACCTACATATTTGGGGCCTTGCCTTTGTAGCAGTCTTCCCATTCACCCCCTCCCTGGCATGCAAGCCAGCACAATTGGATTTCTTATGCTCTATCCGCAGCACAGTGGCTCAAATTGTCCCTTTTATGATTAAAGGGATATTACATAGATTGAAAATTACCAGATCACAATATCTTCTTTAATTAAAACTTCATTAGACTTAAAATAATCAGCACAAACCACCTATTAATAAACAGAAATAATGGGGCATGCTATTCTGTCCCCCAACAATGTGATGTAGTCCTTGTAAGAATGCTGATAGATTACAAAATGTATTCTAAGTGTGACTGCTGATGTGTTGTATTAAAAACTCATTACACACTTACTTGAATCTGTAACTCTGTTAGAATAAATATTTGTTATGCATCACGGCCTCTTAGAATATAGAGAGACAGCAGGGCTAGAGCTCAGATGCTCTTGTTCCAAAAGCTTAGGCCACTTCAGTTTGACCTAAAGGAGAACGTTTATACGCGGTTAATAGTTTTGTGGTATGGGGCTCTTTAGAAAGCCAACGGATAGCTATTTTAGGGCCTGAACCAAAACCTGCTGAAGTTAATGCAATTGATCAGTGGGCTTTGGATCAGGCTCTTAATCCCTCATCTTCAAATCAAAGTTAGGTTCCCAAAATCCATAGTTAGGCATCTAAATATCTGATCTTTCAGAAGTGCTGAGCAACCCCAAATTCTCGAGAAGAAAATAGGAAGAAGTGGGCATTCGGAAATCCGTCTCAGAACCAGGCTGCTTTTATTTAAGTACCTAACTAGGGGTTTGAAAATGTAGGCCTCCCCATGTGAAAAGGTTGGCCTTTGTTATGATAAAAGACAACAACCAGAGGCTTTACATCGTGGACCAGGGAGGTGGTAGTCCGTCTATATACAACTTTGATGAGATTGCTCAGGATAATGCTGCCTTCATGGCTTGGCACTCAATACAGCAAGATATATAACAAATGTCAAGAGGTTTGGAGAACAAGAACAACAAAAAAGTCAAGGAGATTGACTTATGAGGAGTTATTAAAGGAAGAAAATATGTATAATGATGAATAAAGGCCAGATTCTAATCTGTTACACCAGTGTTAATTTGGGATAACTGTACTGAAGGCAATGGAGTTATTCCCAATTTTCATGGATGTAACTGAGATCAGGATCTGGTATTTAGTGGGTCTTAATAATGGTCTACCACTGTGAAGGGGGTAAATACTAATGAGCAAGGGGGACTGTTTAGGGTATAACAGAAGGAGATGCAAATAAGGGAAAGGGGATAAAATTAAGAAAAGGAAAATCTAGGTTGAATATGGGGGACATTTTCCCAGCAGTGAACTATATTAGATTGTTAAGAGAAGGCTGGCCAAAACGTTACAAAATGTGCATTAGGAAACAATCCTGCACTGGCAGGGAGATAGCTCTATTAGGTCATCTAGTCTTTCTTTGACTCAAAAGTAATCAAAAGTTTGGATCCATATAATTCCCTAACATTGAGATGTTTATCCAGAGCTTATCAAAACGTATCCCAAACCCTACAGTCTGGAGATCAGCCTGGAAATCTCACAGAATTAGTGTTTCCAGTGCTTCCTAGTATCAGACAGCTTGAAACACTGCAGGAACAGCCTCTCCATGGTATTTCAGTACTTACCCTTCCAGTCCCACTGAAAGTAAGAAGTGCAGAGGTGAATGAAATTGTAAAACAAAATCCAGCTAAACAAATTCTCCCTGTGTTGCTAGCAATAACCCAACAGGTAGACTGTTAACAGATTTCCTACTCACATAGCAGGAGCTCTGAGTAAGCAAAGAATATGATAGTTCAACACACAAACCAAATGCCTCCTGCTGGCCACAGACTGGAAAGTTCTCTTTAGCTGTAATTCAGAGGGCAGCTTCTGAAAGCTGAATAACTGAACACAGACAGGTCTGAACATCAAAAAGACTGTTAGAGAATATTTGCGAAGAGGAAAGATGGTCCTGTAGTTAAGACATTGGCTGGAGCTCCAGGTTCCATTACCAGCTCTTCCTCACAAACTTCCTGTGTGATCTTAATCAAGTCACTTAACTGCTTGATTTTCTAAAAGTGCTGAACACCTCACAAATCCTGCTGAGGTCAATCAAAACTATAGATGTGCAGCACAGCTGAAACTCCGACTGCTAATCTATCTGTGCTTCAGTTCCTCATATCTGTAAAATGGGGATACTAGTTCCCCTGGGTGTTAGGATGAATTCATGTTTGTGAGGAGATGAGGGGGACATGTTGACACCTACGGAGCTCTAGTTGTCTCTGTGTGTGTGTTAATAAAGTGTTGTGTACACCCATGGTGCTACAAATTGATAACAGGTAAACATCTGGCTCCATACTTAATTTAAGAAATCTGCTTCAAACCATTGCAGTAAAAGTTGAATCTTCCTCAACCCAAGTTGTTCAAATAGTGATTCCCTGATTAATAGCAAGAGGAAGTGATTCAGGGGACGAGCTCGCCTGCAAACAGAGAAGGAAAGTCCATTTCACTAGAGTTCCAGAGCTGACAGCATTGTTTCCTGCCAGCTATCCAATGGAATCTGGACTACTACATTGGGATGAGCCTGATAAGCTGTATGGACCTGAGAATAGTGTTTAAAATGCCTTTTCCCCCTTCTGCTTACACTACAGGTTTTTGGAATGCAACCCACACAGTAGTCACTATTTCCCCAGCCAGGATTGTTGAGCCCGCCATTCACCACCCTAAGAATGATAATATGCTAACAGAGTGTGTGCAGCACTCACCAAAACCCTGAGAGATGACAGTCACCGGTGGCTTCCCAGGACACTAAATAGGAAGAAGTAGTGACATGACTCAGTAACACCAAGAGCCACATTGTGAGAGTTGAAAACTGCGTGGGGCATGCAATGAAAGCAGCGAAGCAGCAGGGGCAACACTATCTATGGACAAGGACAGTTAGATTACAGATTTAACACACACACAAAATTACGCAGCAACAGCGAGATGGCTGGAAACCTTGGAAAACCACCAACTGAACAGAACGTCAGTGTTTGGAGAGTCCTGTTTGGGAGCTGGCCACAGATAGCGTGCAGTAAACTGTTGCCAGACGTGTTGCTTATTGATTTTTTCTGAAGAGCCCATTTGAACTGGATGTGCATTCTGAATCCCCAATGAGAGTCCCAGCTGGAGGAGGCAATTCTGGAGGCACTATACATATTACACTTTAGGACTCCAGGGACCGGGATAGGTTTTTACAAGCAGCTAAAATGAAGAAAGAGATCATATGGGAAGGTGCTAGGCTCCTATCGTTTCCGGACATAAGTCCTATAACCCAGGGCAAAAGGGAAGAATTAACTGTGGTTTTAAAAAAAAAAAAGTTGTGATATAAAATGTGTCTGCATGAGTCTCTCTAGCCTGCCAAACGGCACATTGTGCACAGTGAGAAAACTGACATCTTTCAGAAAGTAGACGCAGCTTACAACAAGTCACTGTCGAAAGCAAAGAAGACAAGAGAGAAACTGTAAGAAGTTAGTCAGAGACTAAGGCCTGTGATTTACCGCCCACCCCAGGGCTTGGAGTGCTGAAACTCTCCCTATAAATTATAAATGTATATAAATTAATAAATGAACACAGTCACCACTTCTGGGGACCAACGTGGAATTATGTGGTTTGTAAGCATTTTTTTTTCTTTCCCTTCATCTTGTATGATACAGTCTATATCACCCCCTCCCCCGAATACATTGGGAAGAATTTGAAGTCAATGCCAGATGTTTTAGGGTTAAAACAGTCCCTTCTCCACCCCATCACAAAAGTGCTGGCTAAGGGTGTGTCTACACTGCAATTAGACACCTGTGGCTGGCGTGTGCCAGCTGACTTGGGCTCACGGGGCTCTTTAATTGTAGTGTAGACTTCAGGCTCAGGCTGCTGCCAGAGCTCTGGGACCCTCCCATCTTGCAGGATCCTAAACCTCAGGTTCCAGCCCAAGCCTGAATGTCTACACTGCAATAAAACATCCCCCTTAGACTGAAACCCACAAGCCTGAGTCAGCTGGCACAGGCCAGCCGCAAGTTTTTAACTGCAGTGTAGCCATACCCAAAAGACAGGTGCATGTTTGCACTGCAATTATGGTACATATAGAGATACCTTTTGGTACATTCATCTATCTGAATAATAAGTTTAATATGTAATGAAACAACAGAAGTACTGTCCAAGGGTCAGATTCTGCCCAGGCTTTATGCAAGTACATAGCTGGAGGGAGGGTTCAAGCAGTTGCTGCTTTACACAGTTGACATTAAAGTCAGGCACAATTTCAGTCCCTATGCTCAGAAAAGTGTGAGGTCTGCTTCCTTTTTTCTTCCCTGGGGGCACATGGGCTCAGATCCTCAAAGGTAGGTAGGCATCTAACTCCCATTGAAATCGATGGGAGTTAGATACTTCAAAGATATTTAAGATTGTGACCATCATTCCCTAAGGGGGACAGAGGCCCATTGCTTCACCCCCTCTCATACAATACTGTACACTCTGGACAGGGCCATCCCTATGGGGGTGCAGGGCCCGGGACAAATCAGCCTCCACCGGCTTGGGGGCCCCGCTCTGCATCAGCAGCTGGGCAGAGCCCCGGGCATGTGGGGTGGCAGCCAAGACCTCAGATATGGGGCGGCAGCAGAGTCCTGGCTGTGGGTCCAGCAGCTAGGAGCCTGGGAGTGCTGCAGCAGCCCCCGCACCTCTAGTTCCCACACCTATGCCTTCCGGGACTGACCGCACCGGCCAATCGCATCAGCCCTCGGGGGCCCCCAAAGCACAGGGCCCAGAGCGGTCGCCCCGATTTGCCCTACCCAAGGAACAGCTCTGACTCTGGATGTAACTCGTCACTTAGGAACAGAGAACCCCAAACTCCCAGGGGAGGTGGGTCAATGAGTGGGAATCCTAAGTGCTATCTTCAAAGAAAGAAGCAGAATTCAAGGTAGATAAATTTTCCCTGCTTTACAGCTAGCAGGCCACGTGAGCAGGGGTGGGGGCTGTACCTCTGAAGAGGCAGGAGTCCTGGAAGGTTCCCAGTGCCCCTCTGGGGCAGTGCAACTCCATGACACCCTTCACTAGGGACGCAATTTGACAAAACAAGTACCCGCTTGTACACTCTGTCATCAGTGTGGGAGGCATTCGGACACTTGGTAGTTCTGGGCTGCTGAAACCTTCACTCCAACGTCAAATCACATAATTGTAAAAAACAAAAAATAAGTGTCTGAGGACGCTGTTTCTCGTTTTGGGGCGTCCACCGTGTCATACGACACCAGGCGATGGAGGATGGTGCAAAAGCCTTTGAGTTCAGTTCACGCTGTTTCAGTGAACTAGAAACAGCTGCTTTTATTTTATCCAGGTTCAGTTCCCCCACCCCAACCCCTCCTGCTCTTGAGGGTTGTGGGGAGTTTTGCCACCTCCAACAGCCCCTCCCTCTAAAAAGACCCTGGGAACCTCCCTCTCCTTTTCCTCATCCCTGGAACCTGCCTGTCCTTCTGGAGAGGCCTGTTAAAGGAGTTACAGCTTTAGACTTTGCAATTAATAGTTTTTCATAATTTGATATACCAGTGTCTCCTAGTCGTATTATGAAGGGCCAGTCTTGCATCCTTAAGTTGGCCATACTAGGAGCAAAACAACATCCAACTGCCACATGCCTATATTTTCTATATTAAATAATCAAGTGAGCCACTTGTTAACATCTGGTGAAATATGCACCTATTTGACTGCACTGAGCTTAATCACCTAAATTTCTGTGGCAAATAGGATGTGCTATTAACTAGATTACAGTGCAGTAATGAGTGACTGTGGAGACGCCGTAGCATGAACAGATGCTTGCTTAAAAAATAAACAAACAAATAAATAAATAAATAAATACACCACTGTGTTAAATAAAGTTGTACTGCCACCTTAGGTTACCATCTGTTTTTACTTGTATTCAACTGTTTCCTTCAAACCATATTGTCGAGTACATACAAGTCCAGCTGGCAGCTCTTAACACCAAACATGGTGGGGCCCCCTATGAGTTCTGGTGCCCCTTTCTCATGATCCCAGACACTTGGATGATATTTAAGGGGGGGGGGGAGAGATCATTCCTACTATCCTGCAATCTTTTAATCTTTCTCACTCTTTCTACTCGGTTTGGAGGGATATTAAAAATAGAAGAGGGTTAGATTTGGCAATAAATTAATGTCCAGATGAAGGGAAAACAATTACAAATTGGAAACAGATTTATTCACACTCTGTGCATTAATGAAAACTTTTAAAAAACTAAACTGGGTGTACTGTGTGGAAAAAAATAATGGCCCAGCAGGTCTACTTTTTATTAACAACTCATCAGTAAGCAGGTTGTAATTCATAACAAAGAATTTACCCTAAGGAACACCATGGGACTGTGAGCTTTTTAGTTTCCTAAGAAAATACATATGTTGTTCCACTTGGTTTCCTTTCAATAAAACCCACCAGTTAGCACTTCATTTTCAAGCTGTTCTGACAAATCAGGTGAGTTAGCTTTGTAGAAAACACAGAAGCCAACTTTTCAGCTGAGAATTTTAGGGAATTTTTTTTAATAACTTAAATAAATTTCCCACCTGGCAAGGAAGTCATGATAAAAGGCTGTGAAAGGAGTTTGTTTGGAATGGCTTGAAAGAATTTTTCTTTTAATTCACTTCATTAATTTTTCCTAAGGAAATATTTAAGGATACATCTCTTGCTGTTAAGGTATGTGGTTGAGACAAAAGGAATTTTTATATATGTTTTATAGTGTCTTGAAAACTGATTAAAGATATGGAGGGAAACCTGCCCAGTAGTCCACTGCAAAGAGAAAGGCCTCAAGGAGGAGATTTTCAGAACTCAGCTCTCCTAAGGCCAGTGTGTGATGCTAGATCTCCTGCAAAATAAAGTACTTACATTTTTTACCTAGTAGCTCCTGGTGACCTAGTTACAGAAGAGCAATTCTGAAGGAAAATAATCAAGGCAAGGATAGAAAAATAGAGCAAAAAGACGTGGCAATTCAAAGAAAGGATGTGGAATTGAGGGAGAAAAAATTAGAGTGATTTCAATAAATCACTCCAAGATGAAGTATCATAGTGCAACCCACTGTTCACTGTGTGTTATGCATCCCTGCTCCCGTCTTCAAGTCACAAAGGCTATGAATCTGTTCCAGCTGCTAGCTACGGGACTTGATCCTTTAGTTCAGGTTGTAGAGGTCCCTGGCTTTAGCTCTGTAGGGCCCTCAGATCAACCTTCAGTCAGGAGCAAGACAGTGAACAGCACAGTCCTTGAGTACCACATCCAGGCTCTCCCAGAAGCATTCCAAACTGTTCTATAGCTGATCAAAGCTTTTATTATGGAACAAGAAAACAGATGTACAACAAGGGCTTGATCCAATGCCCACTGACGTCAATGGGAGTCTTTCTATTGACTCCAAGTGTGCTTTGGATCAGTCCCTAATACAGGTTACGAACAAACAATGAACAAACAAACAAACAAAATCAAACAACGTCTAATTGCGCTTGTATTTCCAGACTTGAGATTTGAGGACAGGCCATTGTGTGGAGGAGACTGCTTTCTTTGCTATCCAAGTATTAACACTAGGGTAGTTATTTATCTACCCCTGCTTAATTATGTCCTAAATATTCAAATGAGTCTTAGATACAGGTGATCACTAAAAACTAATCCTCAGAACAGAAGGAACAATAGAGAGTGTCCAAGACCAGCAAGCAAGCCTCAAACCTTGAAACAGACTGGGGAATTAGCTACTTCAAAATGGCGTGTGGTTTTGGCTCTGCCCTCATCACACAGTAAATCCTGGGAAAGAGAGCATGAAAGGAGGATAGTTCTTGGGCAGGAGAACCACACACAGACTCTGAAGAACCCTATAATACCAAATACCAAAAAAACCAAACCAAACACCACCCATTTCTGGAAAAACTTTTGCTGTTCATAAGACAGATGATTATATCGAGCATTCGTGTGGAAGTAGTAGGTGGAGTTGGGGGTCCCCAGTCACATTGCCATCTTTGCTTTCTTTCCGAGTGGCAGGAATCTCTCCCAGAGGAGTGAGACATGGAGGATTTCAGCTCCTGCTTGAAGAAAAGTCCCCATTTGTATCTGTAAAAGACATAAAAGTAGAGGCAGCACATCATGAACTGTTAAAGTTACTGCTAAGCCTGACATCCCACCCAGGCTCTAATCAAAAGGGGCCAGGATCAGCTGAATTAAGCAGTAAAAGTCTCTGAGGCACTTGTAGGGGCTGACGTTAACATGAGTAAATCTGCCTGCCCTCCTTTAACAGGATTCCAGGCTCTTTTGGGGAGTGATCTTAGGAGCCAAGATAATATTGCAGCATGTAAAAGGCATCATGTGGCACCTCTGACTCCAGGCCCACTTTACAAGAAAAAAAGGAAGAAGTCTAGCTCTGCCCCTGGGAGTAGCCAAACACTTGGAGGGTGGGAAACATATGGAAATGAACATCTTATCTTGTGTGCAAAGGGCAGTCAATGCCTCCTACATGTGAAGGAGTAGGGCAGTGTGGAGTAGGGTTGGGGTGGGAGGAACAGGTCTATACAGGGCCGGCGCAACCCATTAGGCGACCTAGGCGGTCGCCTAGGGAACTAACATTTGGGGGGCGGCGACCGCAGTGGCCGGATCTTCGGCCGCCCCAGTCGTCGGCAGTATTTCGGGGGTGGGACCTTCCGCCGCCTCTGTCGGGGGTGGTATTTTGGGGGCAGGACCTTCCGCCGCCTAGGGCAGCAAAAAAGCTGGCGGCGCTCCTGGGTCTATAGTGGAAGTACAAAGGCTTACAGGTGTTATCCCTTGCTACAAAAAACCACGGAGGAATGTGGAGCTGCCCCATTCCCCCTACAGATTGTGGGGTGCATTATATCTCTCAGCAAATCCCTTCAGAGTTCCCTATTCAAAGCCCATTTACTTAGGCTTTGTGATAGGTATATGTGTGAATTTCATCCAACATGCACTGTTGTCTCTTATCAAAAACAACCAAGTGCAGCAGTTGCTGGACTTGAATATGTCCTGTACATTGATCTCCAAAGCATTCCAGCTGAGAAACACCGTTAAGACAAGTATCTAGTGCTTAGAAACTTCTATAGTGACACTGAAATGGAAACACTACAGCCCAATCCCTCTCCCATTATAGTAGGACTGGGCCACACAGTATACACTGCAATTAGAGATAATTTAAGAGCTTAAGGATGTAGCTCATAGCTTGGAAAGCATGCACAGCTGTAGTATTTAAGTGCATGAAATCATTGCAAGATTAAAATACTTACTGTGTTCGTCCACTTTTCGCCAATATCCAATCTGTAATCTATCCAGGAGGAAAGAAAAAAAATCATATATCTGCTATTCTAATTATTTTGCTATCTGCCAAAGAATGCTTCTGGGAAGGGTTAGCCTTCCCAGCAGAAATGTAGAAAACTATACTGGAAAACATTAATTCATATTAGTAAAAGAAAGACCTGTGAAGACAACAGCTGTTTGATCCTTAGATAAAGTGTGGACAGTTTTCACTATTAAGTCTTTGTGAGTGATGTACTGTAGATTTAGGAAACATAAAATATGGCCAAGAGAGAAGAACAGGATAGGGAAAAAAGTCTGGGGAGGTGACTGAAAAATATTTATTCAGATACTTACCTTTTCATAGAAAAACCTAAATGTGGCTCATAAGGACTTGTTTATATATTCTGTATGTGTTCCCGTAGGGCCGGGAGACATTTTCTAACCAGTTTTAAAGGCATTTCATCTTGATGTAGTCTTGAAATCAATCAAAATGGGTCAGCTTGCCTTAAATTGGGTCTCCACTATGGCTCCACCAGTTTTGGGGCTGGTTTAGCTGAACTGATTATGCTCAAATAAATTTGTTAGTCTCTAAGGTGCCACAAGTACTCCTGTTCTTTTTGCGGATACAGACTAACACGGCTGCTACTCTGAAACCTGATTTTAGAAGATTTCTCAAACATAGACAGGCCCTCTGAGTTCTTAGTGCAGTCAGCTGTTTAGACACATTTCATTGTGCTATTGTTCTTTACCTCCTCTGAGCCCTTTGCAGTTATATAGAAAATGATTAACTAGGCAGCACTAGCATTTCCTTTTGCTTGATTGGAATGTTTCACTCTGGGTAATGTTTTGACAGTGTCCTAGTCACTTCCAGTATTAAATAAAGCATACCCTATATGTTACATTCCATCAAGCTAGAGCTGGACGTTTGGGCAAGTGGGCTGAACATGAGGATAAGTTAATTATCTAATAGCTAATCTCATTAATGAATTACCCAGCAAAAGGAATAAGGGTATATACTTTAGTGCATAATGTCAAATGCAAGAGGACATCTGCTGTTTCATCCAGTAATGCCAAATGGTTTTGTACTGAAATGTGCCCTAGCAGAATAATGGGCAATTTTGACTTGAATAACAAACATTCCAACTTCTCTTTTTTTCAAGCATTTACACTTGTTGATTTTTCACTTCTTAGATCCTGAGGAATCCTCATGTAAGCAATCCTGGACCAGGGGACAGGGAGGTTAAATGATTTCCTCAAGGTCACAATTCAGATTCACAAATAACCCAGTCCCTTGCATTGATGAAGTCACTCTTCTTCCTTCCAGTGTAACAGCATTCTGTTAAAAGAACAGGAGTACTTGTGGCACCTTAGAGACTAACAAATTTATTTCAGCATAAGCTTTCGTGGGCTACATCCCACTTCTTCGGATGCATGCTGTTAGTTAGTGATACAAACTCAAGTGATAAGCACCAAATTGCAAGGGCATATCAGAGCATGCTCCAAATGGAGGACCTGCTTAGAAGGGGACTCTGGTAATGGGAGAGTGAAGGAGAAGCTGTCTGAAGGAAGGAAGCCAATTAATAGCTTCTGGAACAGAGGAATCCACAAGGGAAGAGCCTGAACTGTGGGGAAGGCCCAACTAGACAGCCAGGGGCCTCCTGATCCGACTCCTCTTTCTCCCCCTTTCTCCCTGACAAGGTGGAATCAATGGACACTGAGAAGGGAGCTGGGAAGTCCCTACTGTCTGGGTGCATCATTGAGCCTGTCTGAGCAGCTCTCTGCTGGGACAGAACAGGGTGTCCTGGCCATGCCCCAAACTGAGACGAGCACAGGGAAGATAGGAAATGGCCCAGGAGAGGTTGGTGTGGTGTATCAGCTAGAGGGGACTGGGACATGCCTCACCCCATCCCCCTGGGCTGGGAATGGTGGAGAGGGAGGGCCCAGGTCTCCCTACCCCGCCCTCCGCCTTTTGTCTGAAAGGAAGAACCCGGGAATCACGGGGGGATGATGGGCTCTAACTCAGCCACCAGGCCCTCAGATTGCCTAGCAAGGCTACCCAAGACCTTTGGGGGACTGTTGAACCGTGACCTGTCCATTAGGCCTGCTGGCCCCTATGTGACGCCTGCTACAGTGTGAATTAATTTGTTGTTGAGGAGAGGAGTCAGGAAATATGTACCCTATGCAGCACATTGCCCTCTGAAAAAGACAGAAGAGACATGGCTAATTTTCATATACCTTATTGCTGTTTGAAGCACAAGAGCCAGCCAGCCTGCTGGGATATGAAATGGTATTCACAATGAGGGCATGATCTCACACTCTAACTGGGTCCTGTACCTTTCAGGATGGCCAATTCTCTCCAGGCACACACTGGCTCTCTCCAGGCGTACACTGGCTCTCACCAGCCACCATAACCATTGACCTTGTACTTGGGCTCCCTTTTGTGTTTATTTTCCCTGAGGAAAGCGCCGTTTCCTATCAGCAATTGTCCCCAGCTAAAAGTATTCAGTTCCAGTTATTTTTTTAAAAAATATCAAATTTTTACTGGAAAAAATAGAAAGAGGGAAGAAACCATGAAATCAAAGGTTAAAAACACCCTGTGCACTTGTTTAAGTGAACTTAAAAAGAAAAATGAATACTTGCCTCGGCAACCCACCTGACAGGAGAGGGAACATCACCGCCTCAGATCCTTTTCAGATGCCACCTCCTCTCGACAGTCTGTCTGGGTGCTGGACTTCTCAGGCATTGGTCTCTTACCATTATCTGGGGATTGTTTCTACAGCCAACTGGGTCTTTTTATCAGAAGACCTGTTGCACTCCTAATTTTGGCCGACTTCTACTGCTGCTGCTGCTATCCCATGATACTGATCAAAGTAATATCACTTTTTTCCACTTCATCAGCTCAGTTGTATTCCTATGTTCAGCCCCCTGGATATCACAGTAATTGGATGCCATATAAATATTTAGATAAGATCAAAATTAAAGTTTCTGCCTGACTTAAAGCTCTTCTGTTAGGGGCAAATATTCTCAAACTAGTCCAGCTAATATTTATCCCTTAATGTTTTCATCAGAATCACCCTTCCTGGAGAGTCCAGCAGGAGCTCAGTCTCATCATGACGGTCGAGTCTCAGGTGAGTTTCAGAAAGCCTTTTGGAGACCTGTTGATAGGAGTTTGTCAGTGCTAGACAGCGCACTGCAGTTCTCATTTACAAGCTTCTTAAACTAGCTTCTAAACTAGCTTTTAACAAAGAAAATGTGTTAAAGTACCTATAAAACTACTCTAATAAGCCCTCCATAGCAAAATCCTAATTGAAGCTCATAAAGAGAGCTCTAAACGGTATTTAAAGTGAAAAAAAACATTGGTCCTCCATGCATACAAGTAGATGAGGTGCTGATACTTTTTATTTGACCAACATGAAAGCTTCAGAACATAAGAATTTAGGTGGGTGGAGAGAGATGTGTGTGGTTAGAAAACTGGTTATTGGACTAAGATGCAGGTTGAAAACAACTTGACTTACTCACGACCAGCTCTGCTAGAGAGAACGTAACAGATATTTACACACAAAACATTTCTTTCTCTATTTAAACATACGCACATATACATGTGGCTAAACCCACAAATGTCTGAATGATAGAGCACGTTTACGTTTTCATTTACTGATGCCCTTTCATCCACAGCAAGCCACCATTTTCCTGTTCTGGGTTCCCAGGTCAGGACCCCACCTCTAGTGCTGCTACCATCTAAAGATGAGTAAGACAGTTCATCCAAAACTTGAACCAATCCTGAGTCACTTTAAGGGTGAATGAGTTTGAGTAACTCTCTGATTCCCAACTGACATTTGTGGGAGTCTATTTTGGAGACTCCATAGACCTTGCTTTCCCAAGGGCCTGAGGGAGAGGAGGATTATATGTGTGGCTGGTAGGAAAATTACATTCTGGGAAAAGTGTTAGTGTAACAGGGCCAACCACCTCCTGATAACCCTTTTCATAGCCAGAGATGGTGCTGTGTCACCCTGTCTCAGTTTCCCCTCACAGGTAATCCAATAACTTCATAAAATCATAGAATTGTAGTTCTGGAAGGGATCTCGAGAGGTCATCTAGTTCCATTCCCTGCACTCATGGCAGGACTAAGTATTCTCTAGACCATCCCTGACAGATGTTTGTTTAACCTGCTCTTAAAAATCTCCAGTGATGGAGATTCTACAACCTCCCTAGGCAATTTGTTCCAGTGCTTAACTACCCTGACAGTGAGGAAGCTTTTCCTAATGTCCAATCTAAACTGCCCTTGCTGCAATTTAAGCCCATTGCTTCTTGTCCTACCCTTACAGGTTAAAGAGAACAATTTTTCTCCCTCCTCCTTGTAACAACCTTTTATGTACTTGAAAACTGTTATGTTCCCTCTCCGTCTTCTCTTGACTAAATAAACTTCATAGGTCATGTTTTCTAGACCTTTAATCATTTTTGTTGCTCTTCTCTGGACTTTCTCCAATTTTGTCCACATCTTTCCTGAAATGTGGTGCCCAGAACTGGACACAATACTCCAGTTGAGGCTGTATCAGTGCAGAGTAGAGCAGAAGAATTATTTCTTGGGTCTTGCTTACAACACTCCTGACAATACATCCCAGAAGGACATTTGCTTTTTTTGCAATAGTGTTACGCTGTTGACTCATATTTAGCTTGTGATCCATTAGGACCCCCAGATCCCTTTCCGCAGTACTCTTTCGTAGGCAGTCCTTTTCCATTCTGTATGTGTGCGACTGATTGTTCTTTCCTAAGTGGAGTACTTTGCATTTATCCTTATTGACTTTCATCATTTCTCCACTTTGTCCAGATCATTCTGAATTTTAATCTTATCCTTCAAAGCACTTGCATCCCCTCCCAGCTTGATATGTCATGCAAGCTCTCTTCTCAGTATAGTTCATAGCAGAAGTCTCAACATAAAAGCCATTTATCATCCTCAGTGCAAGTAGTCAAACAGGTGGTGGAGGGGTGCACAACTAGAATCTGGAAGTGGACTGTAATCTTTTGCTGCCTTTGAAGATGGAGCTGTTAGATGGCTGAACCATCTAGGTATCAGTTTGTGATACATCCAAAAGAATTGCATTAAATTAACTTGACATCCCACCCCTTAATGCCCCACATACTGCACCTATAGCCACACCCAGACTCTGTCACTCCTCGTCTAACCCTTTGGCTCTGGGCAGCCACCCCAGCCCTTCCAGCTGGACTGCAACCCAACTCTTCCCCATTTGAATCCCCAGCCTCTCTGCTGGGAGCATCCTTGCCCAGACTGCCCCTAGCCCTCTCACAGTACCTCTGAGTCCAGCTCTCCAGCCCTGGAGATGTCAGTGGGTAAGCGCCTCTACTGCTCCTGTTTGCAGCCCCTCCAGCCCTTGGCTCTAGCTCTCCAGCTTAGAGCCAGCAGTAAACTCCCTCTGCTGCTCCCTGGCCTTCAGTCTCTAGCCCTGGCTCTCTGGCTTGAGGACAGCAGCCTGAAAACCCCATTTACCACTCTCCTGCCTTCAGCCTTCCCAGGACCCAAGCACAGTCTCTGCCAGCTCTCATCACTTACTCAATGTCCTTCTCCCAGGCAGCCCCGACTCATTGGAGCTCCTCTCCACGAGACCCTGGTTTTCATTTTTAAGCCCAATTAATTGACCAAATTGGAGTGTGCTGATGAGGCACAGGTGCACTGGCCCTACTTCCTCTTAAAGGGCCAGTGTCACCCTGTACACAAGCTTTGGCTTAGGGCAGCTAGCCAGAAGATGAGACTGGCTTGAAACAAACCCTCTCACTCCATCGCGGTTTCTACCCACTCAGAAAAATGAGAACAAAATCAGAGTAAAATGTACCTTCCTTCCAAGTTTATGCAAGTCAGAACTATAAACTTTACGGAATAGTTCTCTCACATGAAAGATGTTGGGTAGTTGCTTTGGTGCCCCACACAGCATGGCGCACTTTCCAGTAGGAGGCTATAAAACAACAGCAGCGGCACCAATCATCCTGTTCACCTAAACACAGCATCGAGGGGCAGCTTTTAAAGGCCCTTATATAATGAACAAATGTAAAACTAAAGCAAGTGAGAACACACACACCCTACATTTATACCTAGAGCCATAGCATTCCTTCCAGTGAACTATCACCATGGAAAGGCAACTGGAGGGTCAGTTAGGGACAGGGAGAGGGAGATGGTGGGCAGGGGGTGCTGTAGAGAGTTAAGAGAAGGAGCTGGGAGTTGAAGAGCCTGGGATGAAAGTTTTGGATCAGGGAAAGGAGAAAGCTCTGGCTTGGCTGAGAAGAAAGATGCAATTTGGAAGAGAGGGAAAAGAGGCTCAGAGAAGGCTAAGAAATTCAGAAACACTTTAAAAAGGCACTCAAAACCTTGTGGGGATTATGTGAACTCTGAGGTTCATCCACCCAATAGTGCCATCCCTCCAATTTCCATTCTTCCCCGTCCCCCCATCTGGTTGTGCTACATTAAAAACAATTGTGCTACTGACCAAACATGATTTGGCCTTGAGTAATTCACTGGTTTCCACACAAATGAAAGTCAACTTTTATAGAGGAAAAGCTGTCATTTCACTGTGCTAAGTTGATTTTGCTGTAAAAAGGTGATTTCACCTCCTGCACTTGTGTGACAATTTAGGATATGTTCCACTCTAGAATAACACGGTGCCACATGAAAAGCAATGTCTTCAACAGCATTTGCAAAAATCTCATCCTGGGTCAAATTTGTCACTTCTCATAAAATCATAAAGACCAGACTTTTGTGTGAGTGCACAGAAGCATTTAAATAGTATGATGATGGGCACCAAGAAAAGAGTCGGGGGGAGGGGGGAGGCAGAGAAATGGATGCAAGCAGGCTCTCCCACCTATGCATCTCCCACCTATGCAGAGGCTGTCACCATTATAGTTCCTGTGTTCATGTGAGTACATTGATTCCCAGTAGTACACATCACCCCAAGGGGTGTGGCAGGGTGAGGAGATGGAACCAGTCCCCCTCCCCCAATTCCCCCAAACTCCACATCAATTGAGCTAGCCAGCACACCATGAAGGCTGGTGCAGGCCACTGGGCTGAATGTGCTGAAGCATTACTCACTAAAGTTAAATAAATGTTAACATGACAAACAAAAGCAAAAGAAACAGTCTTACTAAACTTTCCTTCCTCTGTCAGTCACTTAATATTCTGTCTCTTGTGACTGTCAGACTCTCATAGCTCTCCAGTCACCACAAAGTCTTCCAGGCTAGACAAGACTTGAATATCTGATGTAAAAACAAGCTAATAGAAAACATTTTTGGACAAAAACTTTTCAGGCCTTCTGTATATACTATATAAAAAATAGGACAAAACCAGTTTCCTTTTTCAGTTACTTCAGATAGCTAAAAGACTGAAAAGATGAATACAAATAAGGACAATTAGGAAAATGTTCAGTGTCCTTGACAAACCAGCTTTCAATTAAGAAGCTAACTCAGAGGGTATATAAAGTAATAACATTTGGTTATACTAGTCAATTCATGAATCACAGTTTGTCTAATGTGAAATGCAAACACTGGGTATTTATTACATAGATAACAAAATCCAATGTACAGCTTGTCCTCAAAGAACCCACAAAATAAAAATAAAATCAGCTATTAAAATGAGAATTCTAGTCTCTAGGCTCTATGTTTATTCAAATATAATTTAATTTATATTTTCAGACTCCCACATTCCTTACCTGGCCTCAGTCTGTTTATAGTCAGCTGTGTCCCATTAGCATGCAATAATAATTGGCCCAACATTCTACCATTAGCAAGAAAATAATAAGATAGTTATATGTATAAATAATTCCAAAATGCTTTAGCTGTGTTGCAAAAAATAAAACACAATTAAAATATCCAAAAGGTGGATTATTTGAAAATCTGAACAACAAAGGCTATAAAACATTCTAAGCAATATGACTATAAATTACATGAGAGTTTCACAGATCAAAATGTCTGTGTTCACCAAGTATCAGAGGGGTAGCCGTGTTAGTCTGAATCTGTAAAAAGCAACAGAGGGTCCTGTGGCACCTTTAAGACTAACAGAAGTATTGGGAGCATAAGCTTTCGTGGGTAAGAACCTCACTTCTTCAGATGCAAGTTCACCAAGTAATCTCACCAAGTGACT